GCGCAGAAAAGCTACTGTCGGTTATCTGACACTGACCCAAATCTCGGGCTTAACGTACCCCGCTGAGGGGCAAGCCGTCCTTCGGGGGCGGGCAGGGGTCACGGCGGGGGAATCGGGCAACTAGAAGCAGTCATAAGACGCGGCGCTCCGCCGAACAGTCGCCCTTTGTGCCGTTAATAAGCGGCTGACTGCGCTTCAGCAGCGCGATGAACGCAGCCGGGCTGCCAACTATCACGCATCTGCGTGACACTCACACTTTCAAACTCACATTCTTGCAATAAATATTACAGCAAATCTATATTATTCTATTACAAACCTAAAATTAGCTACATCGAAGGCGTTGGGGTAGTTTGCAAACCCTACAGACTATTTACAGGGTAATAAAGCTGTAACATACATGTATGTAACGCAGACCGAACTCAGATGCGCCAGAACTTCCATATACAGCTCATTCACACGCAGGGGAAAAGGGCGTTTGGCATGACCACAAATTCACACAAATCAAGAAAGGAGACACGTTAAATCGGTTTCAGAAAACAGAGAATACTCCTTTATTAAACATAAAGCGTCCTCGACTGACTTGTGCAGTTATGTGCTGACTCAGTATGACTAAAAATATAGAAAAAAATCTGCACCGCCCAATGTCTCAAAAACAAAATTATAAAGGTTTAGCTTTCCTACAACGCCCGTATCTCATGAACCATCGTGTCGAAATCCACGTCTTTTCTAAGTAAATATTGCAACTTATTTTACGCAACGCATAATGTTAGGAAGGCAATCAATGATCGATTATGGCGATCCTTCAAAAATTCGCAGATCAGAAAACTGGATGATTTTAACTGGAACGAGTAAGAGCATGTTATTCCTGCTCGTGATATTCACTGGCAGCCCTGCTTGATGCAGCCTTGTCAGCCATCCATAAATAAACTTTTCGTGCATCGGCTACCTCTTTCTCATTCTGTAGTCAGGCTCAGTTTTTTCGATTCTGATGTGTAACTAGAAACGTTCCGGTGCAAAGAATACGGCTGGAACAAATGCATAAAGAATACCTGAGGGAGCAGATATTATTACCGCTCATGGCTAATGATGCCGCGAGTGTTCAGTTACAGACCTTTGACTTAGTATGTGCTGCAATGCTGGACCAGCTTTATTAGAAATGTGTGAATGGAAAATTATGCTCCACAAACACTTAACGCATAGGGTTTATTATCTGAAAGATTCAATATGAATAGACAATACCTGCAATTTATGGAATATTAGAAATACGAGTCCATCTTTTTTCTAATATATATATATACTTCAGAATATTCTGATAAAAATTTAACTATTTGACGTGATTCTATATTTTGTACAAGCCATTACTGATGGCAATATATGTCTGGGCATACTTTAATTGTTGGCTTTTTATAATTTGAAGCATTTTTATTCACAGAAAAGAGAGGTATGTTTTTATTTGTATGTAAATATTTCTTCTTATGTATACTGTGTCTCATATTTGGAATGCACGGACCTCATGGTATGTTTTTTTATATTTGTAAATAAAAAGTATTAGAAAAAGATAAAGTACTTGGTAGTGTTTTGTCAAGCATCCAGAATTCTTCCGGAGTTTAAACATTTGCAGGAACTAGTTCAATTCGGCACAGAAACCTCCAGAACTCACAAGGAAACAATTAACGATGCAAGACTTATTTTTTCCTACATGTGGGGATCTAAAGGCCTTTCATAGTTCCAGCCCTCTGATTCTACAATTGTGTACTGTATTTCAATAACCTTCACAGCACTGGGGAAACACAGTAAGCCTATTCAATGCGTAAATATCCCAAAGATGCAGCACGTTGACTCATGGAACCAGGCACTACCCCTGCGAGGTTAAACATGATGAAAATTCTTATAAAACACTCTTGTACTAACGAGTCAATGGTCTCGCCTGGCATTGGTTAAAATAATGGTTAAAGGAAACAGGGGGAAGTATAGTCTCTCAATATCTGCCTTCTGCACAAGTAACAACAAAACTAAAGAATGTGAGTCAAATTGCGCATGTTCTAGCTGGTCACTGCATCCTCTTATTGGGCTCGGACTGGTGACAAACCAGTGGCCAAACAGCATGCTATTCAACGCGACTGAACTTTCCAAAGAAGGCCTCCAAAAACTCCTGCCGACTCACGCCATCTCCTCATTTCCAGGCGGTGGATCAAAAAGTTAGTGGACTGTTGGAAAGTATCATTCCCTCTAGCCCTTCAGGGGAAAAGCTCATTCTCATCCGCTCCAGCATAATGGCCAGTTATTTAGCTGCTTTGTATATGCGCACATGGAAAAATAAGGTGCATCACGCAAATATATGCAAATAAACAAAATACCACTATTTTTCCGATCTAGCAACTCTGATTGCTTGATTTCTAGGCTCAATAAAACTATTATCTTTTTGTAAGTAGTTATAGCCATGTTTATAATATTTTATAAATGCATTACAATGTGTTATGAAGGTATCTATAATGCATCATAGATGAGTGTCACAGAACATTCATAATGCATAATAAACATGGCTATAATGTGTTGTGTTATGCCTTTTTACAAATAGTTATAGCCATGTTAATAATACTTTAGGAGTGCATTATAATGCATTATGAAGGTAACTATAATGCATTATGAGGACTGCTTTAAGTAAAGTGTAACCAAAAAACCTTGCAAACGTCAGATGCCATGGCTAGTGTGGTGAGGCAAGGTACATGTGTCGTGCTACAGAGAGAGACAGTGAAAGAGGCTGCAGATGTTGGTCGCTGTACTCAGCTGTGCAACTCCTCTGTAACGGATCCTGTCCAGAAGGCACCACACCAGAAGCATGGACTCCATAGCACAGGTCACAAATCTTACCTGGAGCTCAGTGCCATAAATCCCTTTCAAAAATGCTACGAGGGCCAACCTCCAGAGTGATAGCCATGTTTTAACCCACCTTCCTGAAATAAGCCCATGTTGCTTTGGAGGAATTTTTCATCTCCAGGAAAGACAATTTCCTCAGAAGTACATTTAAATCAGTTGAATATCAGTTTATTTTTGCACTCTGCAAATTCTATCACGATACCCAAATAAAGAAAAGGGGCTCATGACATTGCTTACATTTAAGGGCAGATCAAGGAGTTTAAATAGGAACACATTTTGGAAAACAGACTAAACCAGAATAAATCTGGTCTGTCTTTGGAACACAAAATAGGTGGATTTCTTACCAGTAGTTGTTATGGATTCAAGTTTCACCAGGCAGAATGATATCCTTGGATGGGAAAGAATTTAGCTTGAAGTATTTCAGAATTCAGTAGATATAAGTGCCCGTACTGTGTTGGTGTATGTTGCATTGCGAGACTGTGATGTATGCTTTTTTTTGTCTTTATTCCACTATAGGGTATTACAAAGAACAAGGTTGTTGATGTGCTATTCCTGCATTAGAAACAGAGGTGATGTGGAAAGATTGTATAGGGGCAATTTATAGATGCCTCAGCCATTGGGCCTCATTATTCACATATATATCTGGTAACACCTATCTAACATGGCATAGATTGCTGCAGTGTGTCTCCAAAACTCCAACTAGAATATTTACCACTTAAAATTGATAAACTACTGACTTCACTTTGGATGCAAGGAGCTACTACGAAACAAATAACACCAATTGCTTATCCTACATCCAAACATCCGCTTATCCTGGTCAGGTTTGCGGCTAGCTTAATCTCCCAAGAAAGTCATTAGAAGTAACAAAAGTAAACAACTTACTTAAAATGACTAATATATTTGTATCGACTACATCTGTTTCATGTCAATCCCAAAACTGTGGAGGGTCAAACCGGGGGTGGCAAAGGTTGGTCCAAAATAGCAGCAAAACCAGCTGCATCCACCCACACAGGGGACACTCGGCATCACGGGGAAATGCACACGCTTGTCGAGTTGCACAAGTCGTGGTGTTCAAGGCACGGGAGTAAACTGAAGGACCGGCCCAAAAGTCGAGATATACGGCGTATACCATTAAAGCAACACACCATGTGCACGAGGGTGCCCTGGGCTGTGTGACGCAACTGACATGAACAAAAATTTTCCAAAGTAACCCGCAACACTTACAAATGCTGTTCACTCCTCGTTTTTACACGTTTTACTCGTCGTTATTAATTCAAAGCAACACAGCTACCAATTCTGGCAAAATTTACATTTGATGTATTTTTTGGCAAAACAGTGATATAATGCACAAGTTAGCTATAAATTCCACTTTCTAAAAAAAGTATTATTCTAAGATTGCAAGCAGATGAATTTCCAGCATCCGAGCGGTGGACTTTACCTACAGTAGCGCGATCGGTTAGTGCTCAGATACAATCTGGTGAGACCTTTGCATGCCATCGGAAAAAGTGAGTTTTTTAACTATAAAAAATAACGTGGATGCTTTGATGGTATCTGTGGCTTAAAACAGGGGTTATGAGCGGCCGTGTGTGTGTGTGTGTGTGGGGGGGGGGGGGGTCCGCACTTGCAAAAGGCCAAGGCAGCGAGCAATACACAGCGATCCACCGGCCGCCGGAGTGGATTTAAAAAGACGCGCTGAGGTCAGCGAGGTGTTAGTCAGGTCCGTGTGAACAAGCAATCATCACCCCGAGGAGAAAGGCTTCAGCAAGCCTCTGCACTGCTCATCTCAAAGCCACATTTACGCACCTTTGACGATGTTAATCTGGCTCCTCTTTATCACCAGTTGCTAATACATCAATTATTATTGTTACATTCTAATCATAATTGTGACATCTAACAATAAGATCTGTGTTGTACGGTCTAACTGAAATGGACCACCCTGATTTCTGACCTAACATAAACCCACATCGCTATGTTGTTGTCTACTAAACAACGTTTGTATATTAATCTTTGCATAGTAAACATAGCTCTGCTGTACCGGTATAGTTTAACATACAGACGCGGACATAACCATCTGGGACAGGGACAGTAGCCAAGTGCAGTGGGATTAATATCAGGCTACTTACGCCCTGGTTTTGGGGAAACCCATGGACAGAAGAACATCCAAACTGGATCCATGCTTCACTGTGCCCGTTCGGTTTTGTCGCTGCCTCCGCGGTGTGATTTTGGTGTACAGCTCCTCTTTCGTAATTCCCGACTCCATTTGAGCTTAATGTTGGGATCCGCTGGTTACCGGGAGCAGCATTAGACCAAAGAGCCAGTACAGTGCGATCTGTGTCTTTCCTTCCCCACCGGACAGAAAGAAGGAAAGAAAGAAGAAAAAAGTGCGGAGCGGCTACAGACTGCGCGCTGCTCTTCCTGGTGCTGCGCGGATCGCACGCATAACCAGAAGGGGGCTGTCGCTCGGAAGTCACTTTTGCTTTCTCCGGCTTGCTTCAGTTTCCCTCACTGAGCTGAAAGATGCTGCAGTGCCCGAGCATTTTTGATAACCAGACGGAGGCAGAAATAGCCACGCGTGTATTGTACACTAATAAACCCATTTAAATATGCAAGCCCTTGTTTTTTGTGGCGATTAATTTATGAATGGGTCGTCGCTGGGCTCGGCCTCTTAGATGTTGTTTTTGCAGACAGCCTCCCCCCTTTGTCTTAAAGGCGTAGAGCTGATAATTGAAACCGCCGATATGTTTCGCTTTTTTCATTTTGAGCGACTTTATAAATCTCCCAGTCCATTTATTAAAGACATTAGTATCATTTATTCGATCGCTTTGCATAGTGATATATCCTTCGATCAATCGTTATAGTGAATGGCATAACCAACAGTAGCTAAACCAGGCATATGTTTTAAACTACATTTTTATGCCGTTTTCTTGGAGTTTCGGGGGAGTTTAAGTTCAAAAGAGCAAAAGCGTTCAGTAATGATTGTCTAAAATGTTACATACAAAAGCACTTAAAGAATAAGACCGATCCTTATATATCGAGGGAGTTTTTAAGATTGCATTAATCTGGTTTTAAATAACCATGGATAAAATCTTAATAGCTAATAGTACTCGTCTCCGTCCAGTGATTCAGCAGCGACAAACCAAACGACAGCTCCATTTACAAAACATAATTGACTGACTGGCTGTAGTCCATGTATGCATTCATCCATCCATTCTCCATTTCCCATAACCGCTTAATTAGTACAGGGCCGCGGAGAGCCAGGAGATATTCTGAGAAACACAGGGCTAGAGGCAGAGGACAACCTGGACGTAGGGCACTCACTCGCACAATGAGGCACAAAGAGCATTTTAGAGACACCACTTACAGAGGAACCCACCTATCCCAAACACGCGGAGCACATGCAAACTCCACAAACAGGGGCAACCGGCTCTAATGATCATCTTTATTATAGCGGTAACGGCGGGGTTTGCCAACCGCCTGGAGATTTTCTGCCATCTAGTGGTCAAGTTTTAAAATTAATATTTAGGTTATGAAAATAACCAGAGAAAGATGTCCAAGCAATGATGATGTTTGGTCTTCGTCGCTGTATAGTGTTTTTCTATCCATCCGTCTTCCATACCCGCTTACCTAGTATAGGATCTCAGTGAGCTAGTAGCTTATTCCGCGAAACATTCACTTTATTGTGACTGAAAGGTCTTTTACCATACAAGTTAGCAGTATTTAAATTAAAGCTCCATAATAAGAACATAAATTTACAAACGAGAGGAAGCCATTCTGCCCATAAGCTTGTTTGGGGAGAACTTAACTAATAGCTAATAACTAATATCTAGCTCTGATTTAAAGGAACCCAGGGTTTTAGCTTGCGCTACTCTAGCAGGAAGACCATTCCGTACTCTAACTACATGTTGTGTAAAGAAGTGCTTCCTCAAATTCATTTTAAAATGTTCTTCCACTAATTTCCACTTATGGCCACGAGTTCTAGTATTTAAACTAATACTGAAGTAGCCATTTGGCTGAACAGCATCCAGACCTGTTAGAATCTTATATACCTGGATCATGTCCCCCCTTAATCTCCTTTGCGTGGGGCTAAACAGATTCAGCTAAGCTAACCTCTCCTCATAAGACATTCCTCTAAGACCAGGAATCATTCTCGTAGCCCTCTGTTGCACCTTTTCTAAGGCAGCAATGTCCTTCTTAAAGTATGGTGACCAAACTTGCACACAATATTCTAGGTGGGGTCTTATCAAGGGATTATATAATCGTAGCATCACTTCCCTTGACTTAAACTCCACATACCTAGAGACCCAACATTCTATTGGCCTTTTTTATTGCTTCCCCACACTGGCAAGAGTGGGACATGGAAGCATCAACATACTGTACACACCGAGATCTTTCTCATAATCAGCTACCTTTATTTCAGTGGAACCCATAAAATATCTGTACTTTATATTTCTGCTCCCTGCATGGATTACCTTACATTTATCTATGTTAAATTTCATCTGCCTAGTATCAGCCCAGTCGCTAATTAAACCCAGATCCCATTGTAGCCTCTCTGCTGCTAGATCAGTATCTGCTACACCACCCACCTTAGTGTGCTGCGGTACCCCAAGGCTACACAATTAAGAACAATTTGGAGAACTTAACGGATACAGCATGTTTACGAGGACTGGCACCAGAGGCTGTTCCACGAAGCAGGATTTCTTGCTTAGCCTTATAACTTGTCGGATTTAATCTGAGCTAAACGAAATTGAACGAAAACAGTCAATTTAGCCCATACTACCTTAATCCCGACAAATTATCCGGCCAAGCAATAAGTCCTGTTTTGTGGAACACCCCCCCATGAGTACGTAACAGGTGCATAAGGCCACCAAGCACTACAGGCGATGGCATTTTTAATATCTATACATTCACTTTTTATTGATGAGTATTAGTGTAAGTGTATGGATTATAGCAACCAGATTTATCAGTAGCTTCAAAGCACTTAACTGTGAGAAACACCTGCTTTGCTCCAAATATGTGCCACCTTTTGTACGATATTCTAATGGTCAGCTGTAATCGTTTTGCCTTACGTAGGTTTATAAAGCGTTTTACCTAGTGCTCTACAACCCAAGTAATCCGTCAGCATCTTTGCTTTACTTTACTTGCGAGGCGAAAACAACTCATCTCTTCAATCCATCAGCGTGATGCTAGATTCCATAAAAATGTTAGTGACTCTCACATTACGTAATATTTAGAAGTTGATATGCAGGCGAGATTTAAGGGTTAAGGTTGCCTATTCTATCCACTATGGCATTCGATTCCGAACAGGTGTTTTGCTCTAAACTCTCCTGACATCATCGGCACAGTGAATAGTGAAAATTTGCCGCATTATAGGCGACTAAAAAGACGACAACAGGAAAAATATTCAAGCAGAATGACTTCAACAAAGTGTCTAGATAGATAAGTTAATCCCCAGAGGGATTGTCATAGCAGCCAGATACATTTCAAGGCACATTATTCCAGTACATGAATCGCTTCTTGTGACGACTATTTGCACAGACTAGCGTTGGTGAAAAGATAGCCATTACTGTAGCACTTGGATGAAGCAGTAACTGTGACATAAGCAACGGTTCACTGGTGGAAATCTTAAGGTTTGATTGTAAAATACCATAGTAAACAAGTACCGTGAGTTTTTTTTTAGTCTGACTGAGGCAAGCGCAGGGGAAGTGAAGCGACATGGCCCTTTAAAAAGAGCGATGAGGTCAGGGGAGGCGATCCAGACCACAACACCGGTCCTAGATTCAGCTTGATCTCAATTGATTTAATAGAAAAAAGCAAATCACAGAAGTTCAGTAAAACACATTTATTAACAAAATCATGACCAAATTATTCAACATATGTTGTCACACACGAAAGACTATTTGCTCTCCCCAGTGTGAACACATTGTCACAGCATATTTCTAAAAAGCAATTTCAAGGGTTCTGATAAACAATAACCGTAAATAAACGTAAAACAGGAAAAAAAAAATTATGTATATTAAAGAAAAAGGAATCCTTAAAAAAATTCAAATATCACAGTGATAGAATGAGAGATGTATCAGTAAGTCATAAACAGCAGGAAGACAGCTATTTTTAACTCATTTGTTTTGTTGGCATACCAACGCTTGGGTCTGGCTACCTGACAACCAAACACCTATCATTTTGTCCAGTAGAGATGAAGTGGCCTACTGACTTCATACAGCACACTAATCAGAAAACACTACAAATTAAGGCATTGGTTGGATGCTTGGGGAAGGTGATGCGATTATACCCAATGAGACATGCTACAACACAGCACAGTCGTTCTATACATTTACTCCCCAAACACTAGAGAAGATCTCCTTCATGACATGGGTGATGTTTTTACAGATTTAGTAGCCAAAGCCCTCAGTTCCATGTTGCTATCATGGAAGTGTTGACTGGCACTGGTTATTCCAGGTTTATGTGTTTTTACAGTCTTGGAATGACGGATGTATAATGAATGCTAATTTCTCCTTTTTTTTGGTGTGTATTCTGTTTAAATATCTGCAAATGGGTCTAAACGACTTTTGTGTGCATCCAAAATATCTTGATGACCAATAAACGCAAAAAAACCAATGACATCAGTACAAGAGGCAATAGTTTTGCATGTAACAGCCTGTAAAAAATATATTAAAAGAAACCACACACACAGACACACACACACAGACACACACACACAGACACACACACAGACACACACACACACACACACACACAGACACCTTTTTGCCACTCCCAACAAAATGGACCGATAGCCATAAATGTAACATGATAGCAGGATACAAGACACTCAATTAAAAACGTAAAACAGGAAAAAAAAAATAATTACAAATGATCAACAACGAGCCAGTTCCCACACGACTTCCCAGCGGCACAGTGCCGTTAGTCGATCCCAGCCCAGCTTGCCGTCACACCACAAATGATGACTTTTGCTTGAATTCTCCCTGAAACACACAAGACAGAGAATACGTTGTACATCAAGCCAGTAACTTTTGCAGACAGCCCCACACCAAAACACCCCATGCAGGTACAGCTAATATACAACTTGGACAGATTCTGAGCTATGTTTAACAGAGAACAGTATTATTTAAAGAATGGCCAGGGGGGGGAGAAAAAAAACAAAAAACAAAACACAATATCCACCAGTCCCCTTGCCATATCTTAAACCTCCTGTGTCCTGTAGGTGGCGCCAGAGAACGTTGCACTTACATCAGCATCGTCGTGGTAATTCATGGCTGGCTGTGCGTATACTTGCTTGTTGCTAGAGGGCGAAACAGAAAACAGGTGCGGTGAACTGCACAGTGACTCCATTCCTGCTCAGTGCATTCATGAGCATCAAATAAACCCAGCAGCACCATCATATGCGTAGATTTAGGGGAGGACATGTCCCCCCCAGGGTTGAGATGGGGGGGGGGGAAATCACCCTCCTCAATAATATCACATATAAATGCCTGGTCGATAAAAAACACACGTTTAAAATATGTCATTACATAATTTAAAGTTTTTTTTCCCTCACAGTTTTTATTTGGAGATCCCCTACTCTCCATTAAAACCGTTTATTCTCAACTCACCCTCCGGCAGGAAGACTCTCACTCACAGACCCGCGAGTAAAGAGACGATTAACAGAGAGCGGTGAGCACAGAAGCACGGTGCGGCTTTGTATGTAAGTAACTCATTGAAGACCCTGTATCATAACCAACAGTTACTCAATGAAAGGCTATGTGAAATGGAATTTAAGAGTCTTATGTCGATTTAGTTTCATAAAGATTATCTTATTTGATTGTGCAAGCTGCTACTAGCTTGGTTAAATGGCACAGCACAAATAGCAACGCTGATAACGCAGCAGTACACAGCGTTTGCGTCAGTCACAAATCTCATCCCACTGGGTTTGCTGTCAGGGCATAAGAATGAGTAAGAAGCCAGTCAAAAAACAGGGCCAGACCTGGCATTTATTTGGAAAACGTCATAAAGTGAGTTACTCAGTTACCAGTAACTCAGAATCATTTAGTTCATAAACACTATTGGCAGAAAGTCCCATTTGTCGCTATTTTGTGTGTCGTGTTTATTTCAGGGAAGTTAGGATGCGTTTGTGAGAGAGACAGGATACAGAAGAATGATAGGGGCATCATAGTGGACCCCGAGGTAATTTTTCCACAATGAATGGCCTGACATTCATGGTGGAATCTCGCAAATTGTGCATGATTTTAACAATTCCTGCAAATTCAGAGTACATGATGTGGGACTTAACACACTTAAACTACCATACAAGTGAAGCTGAATAACAGTGAAATGGAAAGAAATTTCACTTTACATATTGTAACTATAACAGCAAGTTTACAAAAAACAACGAACAGTATAAAGCACAACTACAGAATCACCTTATAAGGCGACACCGATCACACCTCTGACCCCGATATACCTGCCCCCCCCCCCAATGTCAATGTGAAAACTACACCCCTGGGCACCTTTAAGGCCTAGTAAGGTTGACATTTCACCAAAAAGAATCCATAAAAATTCAATCATATGTAATCGATATTAAGGCTAATCAACATTAATATTGTTTTGCATAGAGGTAAAGACAAGACATATTCTTACCTTTGTTTGGATTTACCTGTGAAGACAAAAGTTGCAGATTAGCAGAGGAAAAAATGTATTATTATTATTATTATTATTATTATTTTGAGGCTTGTGAGGATGTGAATAAGCACTGCACTCACTGGGAAGGTATCCTTTGCGGCGGGCGAACCACAGTCCAAATATCAGCAGTGCCACTGCAAGCAGGGCTATGATGACACCAGCCACAATGCCCCCAGTATTGAGGTCCTCTGGATTGATGGGGAAAGAGACAGACATCAAACACTGCTAACATTCCGCTCCTTGGTACTCTCGTCGTACCACTGCCCGAGTCCGTAAAGGCACTAGGCTCATGGCAGTGATGATGATAATACATTTATTTTATATAGCGCTTTTCTAGATACTCAGTCACTTTTCAAGGGCAAATCAGAGAAATAGAAACACATACACACATTAGGCAAACAGGACAAAGCTCTGTCAACAATTATAGGCTATTTTGAAAAGATGGGTCTTAGAGTTTTTAAATAAGAGAGATGAGGAGTTCCTAATGTCACTAGGAAGGGAGTTCCATAGAGAGGGGGCAGTAACAGAAAAGGTCCTGTCACCTCAATAGCGGTAATTAGTGATTTTAGGAAGAGAAAGGAGATTAGTCAGCAGGAGAGAAAAATAGATGAGAAAAAGCAAGGGACAAAGAACCGAACCTTGCGGAACACCGTGAGAGACAGGAAGAGTAGATGATTTACAGTTATTTATGCTGATAAAATTAGATCTGAGAGAGAGGACTTAAACCAAGAGAGCACAGATCCAGTGATACCGAGAGACTTTCCTAGGCGAGTAAGAAAAATGGAATGATTGATAGTGTCAAAAGCAGCAGTCAAATCTAACAGAGTGAGGACAGTGAGATCCCTGAAATCCATTCATCAGATATACTACATGGAAAACTCCTAAAACCAAATCATGCAACGATGAATCAATCATCCTGAACAGTAGGAGGCCCTGTTGATGGCGAGTGCTCGAGGACAGGTTGGCGTAAGGACGGCATGCAAGGCGTCCACTCACTGACTTCCATGAGCATTTTGGCACAGCTCTGAGGAGAGCCAATGCCATTACTGGCAGTGCAGTAGTAGTCCCCTGAGTCCGTTTTCGCCACACTGGCAAAGGTCTGGTGGTAGGGCGGGGGGGGGGGCAGACCATACTCAGAACACAAGGGATGGATTCATATTTTCAGTACAGTGTCTCTCTACATCTAGCGTGAATGGTATGATGGTATAATTTTAAATGGCAAAGTCTATGGGGGAGGGGGGTTTCAGCCAAATTAAATACGGGGGGGGGGGGGGGAGGTACATGCCGGTTCCTAGGCCCCAGCAATCAACTTCAAAGAATATCATGTCAAAGTATGCTAAGTGAACGACTGCATGAATGCTCACCAGATGGCCCATCTGGGGGTGGATGCTGTAGGTAGAGTTTTTTAAGTTGCTAAACTTGCTAGGGTCTTCTGGCATGGGGGTACCATTTTTGTACCACTTGTAACTGCTCGGTGGGGACCCGTCCCTGTCTAGGCAGGTCAGGACTACGCGTGTCCCTGTGGTAACCGTGGGAGGGATGCCACACATGGGCACAGACGGGGGCACTGTGGAAGAGAGATGTTCATTTGCATGGGAGAAAATGGGCAAGATTTCGCATTCCATAAGGACAGAAATGATTAATTCAAAAATGATCTTTTCCCAAGTTTTCCATTTAAAAAATTTTTTTAAACTGTGTCATCACAGTCGTGATGGAGCCATTGCTCAGCGCTACCCCAGCAGAGTAAAAACTATGTCATGTGTTACGACACCCACCTTGCACAGTTAGCTTGATTTCCACCTCCCCGTAGCCATTGTTGCCGGAGACCTCACAGCTATAAACCCCATTATCTTGCCGGGTCACTTTGTTGAATGTCAGTCCACCATTGTAAACGTCAACACGACCCACATACTTTTCTGGTGAAAGACAAATCAGTGATACAGTCAACCAATAATATAATCAGCTGACACAGAAGTTAAAGCCCTTTAAAATTTAAAAAGCCTTATACTACGGGACCGTTGAATGCTTGAATCTGATTGGCTGATGAACGTTCTGAGGTGTGCAATTATTTTCAGGGAAACGCACGGCGAACGTAGTTCCGGGCAGCTCTCTTGACCGCATTACAGTTCCATATCACTTCACACAGTTAACTGTAATAACGGAAATTAAGACTGCATCTTAAAGCAGACTTATTACAGTTTAGAGACGGTGCTTCAGAACACTGTTGAGGGACACACAGAGGTAGCCTAATTCATACAAGCTCTCTCTCTCTCTGTTTCTCTTTCTCTGTCTCTCTCGCTCTCTTTCTAATAACTTCATTATTAACTGCATTAGTCTGCTATCAACGGCTCAAGCCTCCATTGCCAGCTTTAAAATGATGTTTTGGAACTAGCAAAAGAGTCGTTGGATGAGATGCGGAAGAAATAATCCTACTCACAATAGCGATTTAAGTAGAAAAACCGGACGAATCCCTTGAAATATATCATCTGATCGATGTCTTGAGGTGTGGCAACCGTAGTATAAGCGGAATAATTGACTCCGGACCGTTGAATTATTAGAAAAATAATGCACACCCGAGGTGTAACGGCCACTCCGCTTCGCGTCGTGGCCACATCACCACCTCGGGTGTGCATTATTTTTCTAATAATTCAACGGCCCGTCGTCAATTATTCCTTACTTATTTAATAGGGCAAAAACACTGACAAACATCTAGACAAAGGAGGGGAGTACATATAGTGGAGAATTACAGTTTTATTAAAAATGCATTGAGGGGTGAGACAGCAGAGAGCAGTGGAGCCACAGGGAGGCGTCATTAAAACAGACTGGCAGCAGTCCCATGACACTGTATGCAAACTGAAAGTGGTGTCATATTCAAAAACGACAAATGAAATACGAGACAGGACTGCTGGAGGGCGGAGAGGATGCCGAGCTAGTAATGCAAAGAAAAAGCGAGACAAAACATGCAGTTTTAAGACAAACGTGAATACACACGGACAAATTTGTATTGAATGGGCGATTCCCACAAAGATCATTTCTACAGGCATAACCCTAACATCAACTATGACAACTAAGCCTTACCCAGCCCTAAACTAAACCATAAGTAGCCACACAAAATACAAGACTTCTGGCATTTTTAGTTTTTCGATTGCATTTACAGATTGTTATAAAATTCAGTTTCCCCACAAGATCAACATAACAGGTTTCAGATGTCCCCACAATGTAACATTTACACACACACACACACACACACACACACACACACACACACACAATATGGCCAAAAATATAGACATCGTTATTAATTACAGGAACTGTCAAAGCTACACCCATCTCTGACACAGGTGTATAATTAAGCACCCAGTCACGCAATACCCAGAAATAAACATTAGCAGCAGAATGGGTAGTTAGTCACTTTCTGCTAGGCGCCACCTTATGATGCCATAATGCCAGCAAGTCAGATGGCCATATTTGTGCCCTGGTCAACCACAAGTGAGATGACTATGAAGGTCTGGGAGCAAGTTCACGTGGGGAATGATCAGCCACACAAGCTCAGAGAAAGGGACCAAACATCAATAGCCAACCTGAATGGTAGCAAGTCCCCCAGGAACGTTCTAACATCTTATGAAAAGCCTTCTCAGAAAAAAAGCTACTACAGCAACAATGGGCCAACCAACATCAAATTCATACCCGTGATCTCAGAATGACATGTTGAACGAGCTGGTGTCCACACACTTTTGATCATTATATACACACACATACACACACACACATATACACATATATACATATACACATATATATATATGTATGTGCCTTGCCATTTCAGAGATGCTCAGACCCAATCATCCAACAATAATGATTTGGTCATAAGTCAGTCAGATCATTACCTCTGCCCATTTCTTCTGCATTCAATATTTTGACCATGAGCACTGATTGATGGCTTATTGTCTAATATACCCCAGACCTAAACATGCATAGTCAACATTATTCGCTTAATGTGGAGGGTAGTCATAAATTTTTGGCTCATCATTGTGTCTGTTTATAAATATATCTCTCAAAACAGACTTGAGCTGTCACAATTACTCGATTAAACTTGATCATGTAAAAACATCAATTAAAATTTTCCTAGTCTAACAATCAGCAATATGGCAGAAGGAAGAGAATAAAGATCTAAATAAAGAACCAAATTTTCATGTGCATAGAAGCACTTCACAATAATAGTGAATGAAAATGCATTGCCAGTATTACAAATAAGAACTTTCATATCACCAGAGAATGACCACAATGCAAATACAACTTAAAAGATGACATTCAGGTTTGACAGACTCACCTAATAAGGGGAGCTTAAGATACGTGCCATTTAACCACTCAGGGTAGCTTAGCCCGTCTTTGTCATCATCTTAATCTAAATTAATTTGCATTAATTTCTATTTGATTCCTGTATTTCGGCATAGCCGATAAATCTTTCACTTCTACTTGATATCGTATCTCTATGGAATACAAAAATATTTACACACAAACATATGGTCTTTGTGACCAGTTCTTGTTTGCTCTCCCCTTCTTCGCTTATTTTTAATTTCTCACAAACGCACCACAAGATCTATCAGTCAGTCCAACAGCAAGCACAGGAATGATTATGATTGTTGTGGAGAGTGCAGGCAGAGCTCATGCAAAACCAGCATGGAAACTTTAGGCTGCTTTCTCTTAATATATACTAAATGATGCTATAAAGGATCACACTATCTCAATCCTTGTGCAAGCCTATCAGGGCAGTACAGTGGCGCAGTGGTTAGCACTGTCGCCACACACTGCCGCTTTTGGTTTGTGAAGTTTGCATGTTCACCCTGTACGTGCAAACTTCTGTGGCAGGTCCTCCAATTTGCACTGTCATAAAACAAGCAACTTCAGTGGAGTGCCAAAATTTTCCGCATGCGTTATCGAGTACACCAATTGCAACGTATATTATATATTATAAACCCATAAACCCAAGTACCAGACACTTTAGCTTTAAATCAGGGCATTGAGTAGTTGAGCATAATGCAATTCATGAGGGATATACTTTGGTTGTTCTATTGGTACTCCAGTCCACGACACACCTTTTACACCAAGCAGGACAGAGAAGCACAGAACGAATGAAAGGTCTTTGTGAATATATAAATTGAGCAAATGACAACCAACATTTCAGGAGCATTCAGAAGAGAACATGTTTTCCTCACCGGTGGGCTTATTGTCATAGACAACATATCCTTGGGACCCTTGCATATTCTTGAATTTCCACTCAACTCGGGGGGTCCCAAAATCAGAGGAATAAGCACATTTGAGGTTAACCCCTGTAAAAAGGAAAATGCCATCTCAGAAACTCGTGCAGGAAAGGAATTATTTTGAAAACACAAGGCAGTATTACTAAAGCATTTCACACACATTTCATTTTCAAACAAATTTATATACAAGACTAACCAAGCCCTTAATACATTCTGCTGATATGTTTCTGATCTTAAACAAAAAGATTAAACCCAGACCTACCCGAGTTCTCAGGAACACTGGGATTCGGATCTGAAGTCGTCACTGAGAATGCCAATGTGCCTGTGTGGTGGGCAGAGAGCAGACAATGAAAGAATCATGAGTGATCCCAATAAGAATGAATAAACGAATGAATGAATGAACGAACGATGGATGAATGGATAACAAAGTCTGGGTGTAGAAAACAAAATGGTGATGTGTAAGCAAAGGTGGCTCAGAAATTGCAATTTGTGGCAATTTGAAAGTGGAAAAAGGAGACACTGCAAATGAGTTGATAAGGATTTGAGTTTTTAAATCCATATTCTATATATCTGCAGTTTTAGCCTAAAAATCAGCAATGTTGTCATTTTGGTTGAGCTCCATGTCCTGCACTATTTCTGTGAATTTTGCTAAAAACAGAGATGCGGTCAGCAATACAGGTATCCATCAACTTGCACCCACATTTGGGCAGAAGCAAGTCAATTTGGGTGCATTTCGATAGTTATAGCGGAGATGCAAGGCATTAAGTACAGTACTGTAATATACACAGTGGAACAGCACCTAATAAAATATGAAATCACCACATTGCGCTTAAATTTCAAGAAAAATAAGACAAACTGCACTACGAAAAAGATGCGTGCAGTAGCAAACAATCAGAGCTGTGGCAAAATGTTTTATTGTACACAGCAGAACAAGTTTCTTTGTATGTAATGAAGCAGCACAGTACAGTTAGTGTATCTATTAGGCTTGGGTGGTACCTATTTTTCTATACCGTCATACCTTTTACACACACCTCCCTAGTACATGGTATATGTGAGGGACCTAAATCACGTAGGTTGTGCAAACTCCAGAGTCAGAGACGGCCTCATCAGTGTGGAAGTTGAGCATTAGGGAAATGATATCACTCGAAGAGCTAAAAAGATCACCCTTTGATTGACACCACATTTACTGCCTGATCTGCGGCCGCATGCGCACTAGGTTTCATGCATGTCACGCATGCTCCAACAGTTTACAGTGCATTCTGTTTTCTGGCATTATGCATGCGTTTTATTCTTTGTTTTTTCTTTTAAACAATTAACTGAGGCTCCAATCACCACTAATGCCACGAAACAGCTTTCTACTACCATTGTTTAAACTGATCATTACAGCATCTCCGTATCCATTTAATAGTATCTGCTTATTGTAGCTGTCCATCACATACACATTACTGTATACATACTGTATTACAGGTAGATATGACAGTGGGTCATTATACAGCCGGCAGCGCTGCCCATTCAACTGCACCTGTTACACTAAGCGATAGATACACCTGCTAACGTTCTACTACGTCCACTTTCAGGAATCTCCCCCATCAGAGTTTTATTACTTACTATGGCCCTCAGACGTAAATGTGGTCTGACGCGACACAATAGGATGCAAGTCCATGTACACCTGTATTTATCATGTAATATGCACCCCCTACATTGCCCAATGTTCTCCGTGTAACATCAATGTATGTGAAATTCTTTGTATCACTATGGACCCCATGGGTGGGGCTAATGGCAATCAGCCACCACCAGCTATTATAACTAATTAGGTCAAGCTGTTAAAGCCTAATATAAAGTACCAAATTAAAGACTGCTCACAATGCATCAAATACTTTAGAACATGGACCTACATTTTCAATCTTAAATATAATTAAACATTTGGGTGGAACAATATGGCATACTCAAAGTCACCCCTTAACTAGCTGTGGCCTACAGCTATGCTCAAACTCCCCCCCTCCCTGTAACAACTCATTACATAATAACACCGCATTATGCAACTCCATAAAATGTTACAAATTTTAGGACTAAATAGAAAAAAAACTACATTGCAACATTACCCTATTCTTATAATCATCATTCAATTTGTTAAACTAAGTTATTACATAATGCAACATTATTACATATTGCATTGTTACACTCCCCAACTCACAAAGATGGCGGATCATCAAAGATAGTCTGCTTCAAATATGTCATGATCTGAAAGTATTACCACTCATCACATTATGCAGTCACACATTTCCTCAGCGGCGAAAAGCTCGGGTAGGCTCTGCCTTCTTTTTCCATTGAGGGGTTTCACACCAGGACAATGACTGGATCAGTAACCACGAAACAGATTTCTACTACCATCGTTTAAATTGATCATTACATGTGATCTTTGGATAGGTTTAGTCCATAAGGGCTGAGAGAAGCTATTCAGATAATACATTTAATATATTATATGATCTGCTTAACATGCTTTCCCAAATAATTGTCAAAATACCACAGACACTTCCCTAATCAATGTTTGGTACGTTTGGTATCCACTGCGATTCTAAATGGAAGATTTTTTTTTTTTTTTTCCTAGTTCTTTATTACTAAGTAATAATTTTGACTGAGAAGTTCGGTATCCGAGAATTCACACAGATATACTGCAGCTCATACATTGAGGTAAGTAGACATGTATAGTGCAACCTTTAGTTTTTCCTTGTATTAGATATGTAAAAAGCAACTTACCAAGTTAAACCTGTTTAACAGAATTCCCGCACAGCTGAGGAGTGCTTACTTTTGAGAGAGCTTTAAATGAATTAAAAACCAGTTTCAAAACATAGTATTATTTACATTCCTTTCAAAATTTAAGTGGCACTGGCATTTAAAAAAAAACTGGCATTTATATAAACACAAGTAATAATTATTTAAAATTTTAATGTGGGTGGGGGATATAAAAGTGTTTAAATATCTGTTTGAGGATTTGAGAAACCGCATACTATACTAGTAGTATATACTGATTTGACCAAAAAGTAGTAGGTTGAATGCAGTACATGCAAAAAATATGAAATCTGTAGTACGCCAAACATGCCCACATGTCGTACGGATTTTGAATATATCACCAGTGTCACTACAGGATCTAAGTCAACCGTGAATGAGAGTTGCCAAAAACAAGCCAAATACAAAAAAAACATATATGCCCAGTTCCTGTGAGGGGCTCTGCCAGTGTCAATAGAGACAATTGAAGGTAATTGGCCATTTTATGAAAATGAATGCAAATGATGGTCACCAGGGAGAGCTCAGTCTCAGAATATAAGAATAAGCTAAATTCATTATTTATAATATTAATAATAATAATAATATCTTTAAAAGGGAGGGTGAAGTACAACAAACCAATGTCAGACTAAATGGACCAAATAAGTTGAAATAAGCTTGCCCTGATTGCTTTTGTAACTCTATTCAGCAACATAATGACTACGCACACACACACACTCAATTTGCCTATCCTTTCAATACACATGGATGCTTAACAGATGGGATGTTTTAGTTAACTGAATTGTCTAGTTATTTTAAATTAATTTGTAATATATGGAAGCATATTGTATTCATCTGGAAAAAAATCAGTTTTTCCAAATTGCCAGTCTTCCTCTTTTTACAGGTAATATTTTCTGTTTTTCTGAAATAGCGACTTATGCAAGACTCTTATGTAAGTTGCTCTAACTGAGGACGTCTGCCAAATGCCATAAATGTAAATAAGATAATCATCTTGTTTTTACAAGCAACATTTCTCTGTTTTTCATGATGCACCATCTGTGCAGCTTAATCTACTTTTGTTTCTCCCTTGGTTTGAGACATCGGGAAATATTAATGTTTTTAAGAATAGATATATTATCAACAGTTTGTCAACTTTGCTCAGGAGCCTCAGGGTTTGTTTGGGCGTGAAGCCCATTCCAAACTGCTTGACACGGCAGTGTTTCTCCTGGATCAGTTGAAACAGTATGGCATGCCTCACGGAAATAAGCCGATGCATGTGAAATGCATTCAGGCCAACTTTGTTGTGACTCAAGACTATGTCAGACGAATGCTGCAAATACTGGATTCTCAGTGAGTTTAACTCAGGTGCTGTAACCGTCTTCAGACATGTTTGTGTCAGAATCCTGGTCCAAACTTATGGCATGAGGAATCATACGAGTCAGCCTGAAGGCATTTCAGATGCATCAGCTTATTTCTGTGAAGCATGCTGTACGGTCTCAACTGATCCAGGAGAAACACTACAATGTCAAGCAGGATAGAACAGGTTCCTGCACAAAGTTAAACTAATCCTACCATCTACTTAAAAACAAATATTCCCCAGTGTGTCAAAGATAGAAATAAAAGCAGATTAAACTACACGGACAGGGCACCGTGGACAAACAGAAAGGTTATGTCACTGATTCAGTGAAACAGAAAAACAGTCATCGTAAAAACGGTAAGATGATCTGATTGATTCAAAAAACAAAGAAATACTGATGAATTGAACACAGATAAATTCCAGATGAATGCAATACACTTCCAAGTAACATGCTTTTGTAAGAATATGATAATTTACCAGACACACCCTACGAGTATTTACAGCACACCGGTTGAAAAACACTGTTGGAAGCGATGCCTTGTCTGTGGGGAATGGTCATTACAGAACTAAAAGGTGACATTGTCCTGGCCCAGAGAGGTTTAAGGCATTAAAATGGGCATGGAAACCTGGCTTCCCATTAACACCATTGGGCGCTATAGTATAACATACCTTGTTTCCATCTGATTTTTAAAGCATTAAATCAGTCTGGGCCAGGACAATGTCACTTTTTCTGTATAGTAGGATACCTGATGTGTACTGAGAAGTTGATATTTGCCTGGCCCAGAGAGGTTTAAGGTATTAAAATTGCCCCCCTACTGGCGCAATAGCGTCATTGCATTGGGCTGCGAAGCATTTAAGGTGGACCGGAAAATCCGAATAAGGAGCCAACTTCAGCGTCGTACGGCACAAGCTACGGTTCCCGAGAAGCGCAAGGTCTTTTCCCTGTAATAAGACAATGGAAAAGATAAATGAAATTTTATTGTGCGGGCGCGATGATAATTGCCCGGCCGAAGCAGTGCTTCTCCATTAGACAGACATTGCCCATTTCGATCACCATTGTTCTGGAATACATGTCCCTCTGTGACTAACTGGCTCTCCGCCAGCCGCTGTTCATCCGGCATTCTTAACATCCCATCCGGCCAGTTTTTCTACTGTTTTGCTTCTCGACGGTGCATAATAACGCGGGCCTACAGCAAACACAACTGAAACGGCTACTATAAGTTAGGTATGGTAAATCAAGTTTCAAATAAAACAAGTTCAGGTGCGAATTGTACACAAGTTTCCCTGTACTTTTGTTAAATGATAGGGCTAAAGCAGAAAGCTTTGGCATGAAGTAGTTTAGACCGGTTTTAGTCCAAATTCTGTTAATATCCACCTGCAAACAAATCACATTCGATTAATCTTATATTAGTCATAATACACTACCGCTTCAAAAGTAAACCCCAAAGTTTTTTTTCGGTGCACATTATAATATGGGTTTACCTGTTGCATGCAGAAGGAGAGTAAAGACAAAAGTCAACAACATGTCGACCGGAATACTTGGAAGGTGTTCCTTTTAAGCGTCGATTAAACAGAAAGTCTTGGAAGGATTGCGGCGTCTTCCAATCCGGCCTGTCCGCTTCGGCTTTACTTAAAATGCGTAAAAGCTCTCCTTTAAAATAAAATTCGAATAAAAGCGAGACAAACCAAGTACCCGCTTGTCAGGGAGACACACAAACGCCCTTTGCCGGCTGCTACCTGCTAGCGGGTGCCACTCCACACGCCCTGAGCGTGACGTGTAGAAACTCCGCCGGATCGCCGGCGTCGCGCGGCCCTTCTGCGGTATCGCTTCCCTATACCCAGCAAAACCAATTCATTATCGACAGACACCCATTCTCACATTTTTCCCGTGCTGATGTAATTCATATGCATAAATTTAACACTTAAATTAACAATTGGATGAATCGGGAGACCACAAGACATGAGTGGGGTGCATAATAAAACGGCAGGCTAATAGAAATAGTCATATTAAATCTTAGACTCGACAATAAAATTGTTGCATATAGGATTGATTTAACTACCAGTGCGAGAGTATTTTAACAAAATACATTGAGTTTCTGCTTGAGTTAGAGTCATAGCACAGAAAAATGATTCACTGCCCAAAATAATAATATGTTGTACATTTAATTTGGTAATTTGAACTAAGATTATACAGGGTAACCACATAATCCATATCAGGGAGGATAGTTTGAGCTAAGAAGAATTTGTAAACAACTATTTCAGTGAAAAGCACCTGGGAGGTATTCCACAAAACAGAATTTATGCCAAACGTGAAAACTATCCAATGCGAGAATATAAGTGACATTCCTATTGGACAATCCTTACATTTGACTAAAGTTATTTAGCTAATAGATCAGTCTTGCTTTGTGGGACACCCCCTTGATTTATCTTAAGCGCTGAGTTCTAGCTGAGTACTGATTGGTCCACCGCATGTGTCACTAATATTATTGTGAAATAGCTGGACGAGTCTTCTAAACAACGAAACAAACCAGTAAAAGAACAAGAAGAATTGAACAAATTAGCCAAACACAGGAGCCTTTCAGTTTTAAAGTAGTTTGTAAAACCTGAAGTAACTCAGTGTCACCGCTGACATTGATTATCTGGTAGCCCTAATTACACACACATGTGTGTGTATGTGTTAAACACAAATCACATATCTAGTCACAGAATTAGGCAGCAATCTGTTATTCTTGTCGTCAGTCAGTCTGTTCTTATATAGACTGATCACTGTTATAATATACATACAGCTCTGGAAAAAAATTGAGACCACTGCAAAATTATCAGTTTTTCTGGTTTTACTATTTACTGGTATGTTTTTGGGGAACCGTAACATTTTTTGTTATATTCCATGAACTACCGACAACATTTCCCCTGATTCAGCATAAAAATAATACACTTAGACAATTTAATTACAGAAAATTACAACTGGTCAAAATAAAAAAAGATGCTGTGTTTTCAGACCTTGAATACTGTATATAAATCAAAGATCATATTCAATTTTAAACAACAAAATACTAATGCTTGGACTTAGGAAGAATTCAGAAATTAGTATTTGGTGGAATAACCCTGCCATTAAATCACAGCTTTCCTGCATCTCGGCATGTTCTCTACCAGTCTTTCATGTTGCTCTTGGGTGATTTTATGCCACACCTGGTGCAAAAATTCAATCAGCTCAGATTTCTTTGATGGCTTGTGACCATCCGTCTTCCTCCTGATCACATTCCAGAGGTTTTTAACGGGGTTCAGGTCTGTAGATTGAACTGGCCATGACAGGGTCTTGCTCTTGTGGTCCTCCATCCACACATTGATTAATCTGGCTGTGTGGCACAGAGCATGATCATGCTGGAAAACCCAATCATCAGAATTAGGGACCATTGTCAGAGCAGAAGAGAACAAGTTCTTCCAGGTTAACCTTGTACATGGCCTGATTCATGCATCCTTCACAAACAAAAATCTGGCCCATTTCAGCCTTGCTGAAGCAACTCGAGATCATCACCGATCAGCCACTAAATTGTACAGTAGATGTAAGACACTGTGGCTTGTAGGCCTTTCCTGGTCTCTGTCCTACCATTAAATAACCAGGTGAAGGAAAAAGCTGAAAATTGGACTCATCAGAGACGACAACTGTCCGTCCCTGCCTATCTGTCCCTCCCTTTCTCGCTAGTGTAGTCTCAATGAGCCACACCTGTTATGCATTAGTCTTACCTCCTTTTCCTGCCCTTGTGTAATGCACTTCAGCTGCCTCTCATTCTGCACCATTGTTAGTCTTTGTATAAAGGTACTTCCCAGTCCCATGTTCCTCAGTCCTGACATTAATGTTGTTGCTCCTGTGGTTCCCATTTACCCGGCTTGTTTTGAATTGCCTATATTTCTGTTCAATCCTTAGTTAATAAAACCCCAATTTGTTCAATTCCTGCTTCCCTGTCCTTCCTCTCACTCAACACAACAATGCCCTTACTGCAGTTCTCTTTGGTCCAATCATTATAGCCTTTAGCAAACCTCAGCCTGGCTCTTTGCTTCTCTTTTAAGGGCTTTTATTCCTAGCTTTATATGACTTCTACCCCACCCAGAGGAGCCTTTTTTTTAACTGTCTGTGCCATACGCTTAACACCAGCTGCCATTTGCCTTTCTTTGTAGATCACTTGATGTCATCCTGCGGTTGTTGAGTGACATTTGCAGGAGTTGACAATCCTAGTCAGTGGAGTCCTTTTTGCCCTCAACCTGTCTGTAACTTTGTTGTCCCCATTGTCTGCTGCTTGACCCTGTTCCTCAGAGCACCGTCAAGAATGTTCACACAGGCTGTACCACGGCCAGGTTCAGGTCCTGCAAGGCCTCAGTTCCTCCAGCGAATCACTGAAACAGAGGAGAAGACTGCACGGAACCCCTCTGCTGGACACCAATCAAGTGGTGAATTGTACTCTCTTTATCTTGTGGTCTATGTCTTAAAATGTCTATATTATATTTATGTGTCATAATATTTATATTGTATTCAAGGCTCCAGATTGTGACCATTTAGTCGCATTTTGCTATTATTTTTGGAGACACTGGGACTAAATTGTAAAACTTGGCGCACCAGTGCAAATATGGCCTCCATTTTTTTTTTTTTTTTTNGTGTTCCCACCACAGAAACGCATTCTTCTGTGGCTTTACTGGGGTGGGGCTTGTGGCAGTATCTTGCTGATTGTTTGCCAACAAGCGCCGGCGTTAACCTTGATGTTACGTGGAACTGCAGGGAAGATATATTAGTATAGCGAAAACTGAGCAGCTGGAATTATTTTTGTACCGTAATTCCATGTAATGCATTTTTTTGCTTGTGTCTCCATATTTCTGCACTTGAAAACTATACACAGATTATACTTTTGTATAATATTGCTGGTGCGGTGGTGAAAATTGCCAGTGCTTATTTGCGGCATAATAACATAGTTTTTTATTCTGTGAAAAATGAAAGATCTGCTGGCCAGATTTAATGACGAATGAGTAGGCCTATATAAATATGTATATATGTATCGATTTAAGTGGTACAGCCATTTTGTGCTGGTGCTCCTAACGTTTTCACTGAGGAGTCCCAGTGCTACTGTTGCCATGCCATTTATTACTGCTCATTTGCACTATGACAAAGAAAAACACCATTTCAGTTCAGCGTATGACCCCACACATCATGTATCTGAAGTAGACAATAAACTGTAGTTTGACTTTTTGAAACCTGATTGAGCACAACTCTGATAATACTTCCAAAGTGGGCCCCACCATAATATGATCTCATCCTTCCAGTCAAGTGCAATAAGGACCAGCGGAGTGTCTAGCTATTGATAAGATCAGAGGCTCAGTCAAGTGTACCTGGGGCTTGACTTTTTTTTGAAGGAAGATTGGCATCAGGATTAAAATACTCGGGGCTATAGTCCTGAGTGATTGGATGTAACGATGCCTATGATTTGCACCATTTGAGAGGTGTCACATCCAGCAGTAAACACTTGCTGACAAGAAGTGACAACGTCCCAAACACAGTAACTGAGAGACAAATGCAAAGCTGTTAAAAAAGGGTCTGGATTATTCTTCTAGGATTTAAGGCAGAGCAGAATGCTGCAAAGAGTCCATTCATCGGCTGCTGGTGTACTTTTCCTTCTCTACCCAAAGCTAACTAAATGTCTATTCTTTGTGCAACCAAGATTCAGCGTTATCACAGCTTGGCATCTCACAACTTGTACTTTCAGTCCAAACGTGAGTAGAGGCACAAGTTAAGGCGAAAAAGATGCGAGGAGGAGATTAGAAACGTCTACATGCTCTTTCTCCAGTATTCTGAGAAGTAAAAACAGGGCCAAACAAGGGAAGTCATCTGAAAATGGCTAGAAATATTGTCCTCCCCCCCCCAAACATAAAGAAAATTCAGAAATTGAAATTAGGTATTCACTGTGATGTTATATCATAGTTAAACAGGCGTTTAAATGATTACTTCTATTAGTAGACAAAAGCAGCACTAAACAAAATAGCAGAAATAATGTTTAATCTTTAGACAAGAGAATGTGCAAAAACCAGTTAGACAGTATTAAGTGACAAGAAGCCTAACTAGTCATTTTCCGGGTCTTAACTTGAAAAAACTATACTTCATAAATAAAAAACTTCAATTCAGTCTGATATTATTTCAGATCAGACTTTGATTGATTTTTTTTTATTAAAAACCATTATCAAACATTTTTTAAAGGCAGCTTTGCAAAGCATCCTTCTATCTCGACATCATCCAATGTGCAAAGATAAAGATTTAACCTGTGTTAGAATGCCAGAAACATTCCACTGAAAGTCACGTCGAGCCTGGAAGTAGTAAAACATTGGTGGTCTGACATGACATAACGCAAAAAGAGAAATGAAAAAATAAAATGAAGGGTATACGGCATATCCTGGCATGGCCTGGTATTCTAAAAACAACAACAGGGTCACGGATGCAAGAAGTGCAAATTTACCAGGCGAGCTTTAAAAAAAACAACAATGACACTACCAAAACTGGAAATTCAGGTTATCAGGTTTCATGTGAACAAACACCTTCCTTGCGTAGCTGATTAACAGAACTGAACAGGTGCAGTCTGAAAGTGCCTCGGATGGTGTTGTGGTCTAGTTGGTGATGTGGTTCCCACGAGCTGCTCTCCAAAAAACAGGGTAGCAGGCTGGGCACACATGCAGCTAAAATTAACTGTACTGCCACATGGGAAGTGTTTCAACTGTCATTGTATTGGCCCCATATTTTGTCATCTACAGATGTCCTCAGGATAGCCAAGTTACATTGTACCTAAAAAAAAACAAAAAAGTAAAAAAATAAATGCTCTTCCTTAATGTGAAAATTCAGCATATTGATGGTCCTGATCAACTCTGCTAACCTTGCTGAGATGCCCGGCGTGAACAAGACATATAAAAACATTTGTAGCATGTCTGAGACACATCTGGAACATCTGGAAGTTCCCCACACAGTTACAGAAGGTGCACGTAATTTTAAAAGCATTGGTAAAACATATTCAAAGAGGCTTCTATGTGATGCTGATTCGCATCTGTGCCATGGCTCTCTGATGAGCCCCAGTCAGGACACTCTGGGATGACATCATCACATACTGCTGCCCTGTGAAAGCAAGGAAATGTAAAACGCACCTAAGTCATGCAACAGAAGAATCAATCAATAAATAAATGAAAAAATAATGTGGCAGAGAATGACATGTGGGTCATATTGTAACAATAAAAGACAGAATATCTCTTTTATAAAAAAAAAAATATGTGCCTTTATTGACAGCAGACAAGAAGTGGTACAGTTAGAGAAGTCAACATTATTTTTTATTAACATATGAACAAATAGACACAAAAAGAGGGAGCACTCAGCCAGGGTTGGGAAAAAAAAGAAAATACAAATCAGAATAGCCCGACACGTAACATAACGCAAAAAGAGAAATGAAAAAATAAAATGAAGGGTATATCACATATCCATGGCCTGGTATTCTAAAAACAACAACAGGGTCACGGATGCAAGAAGTGGAAATTTACCAGGCGAGCTTAAAAAAAACGATGACACTACCAAAACTGGTAGTCATTTAATGGGATGACATTTAATGGTTGCACAGACCAGTTATACAAAATAAGAAGAGAAGTACATTATGATTATTGGTAACATTGGTAACATTGTGTGTATTAAAGATATTACAGGTTCTTAACCGCTTTCCAATTTTGCACTGTGTTTATACAATTATAATATTTAATTTCATTCAAGAACAGGACAGATTTTAGAGTTATATCTGACCATTTACATTTATTTATATGGAATTTTCCAAAAATTATAATAGGTTGCACCAGGAAGATTGCATTTTTCCCCAAAGTATCATTGTAATAATACATTTAAAGATATCACTGCTAGACAGCATAATTGTTTGACTGGTTTTCCTGGACAAGACGTTTTGTACATCATTCCAAAACATTTTACTACACATGCAATGAAAAAAACAGATGAAAAACTGTATTTTCCATGCCTTTTAAAAAGTGTAAATGACCAAAATTAGATCGATGAGGGAACACTGTGTTCCAAAATAATGTTTCTAATTTGCCTTATTAATTTCATTGTGAAGGATATCTGTATTTCCAATGAAAATCTTATTCCAAAATCTGTATATTGGGTTATATGATCAGCTGAGTGTATCAATATCTGTATGTCACCTTTTGGAATGGCATCGAACACAATGGCGTATTCTTTGGAAGTCATCAATATACACGACACTCACACTCGAGGCCATAATACTAACCAAATAGCACGCACTACACGGCTAAAATACTGCTCCTACTTACTGTTCCGTGCGCCGTCACGATCCGAACACAGGGGGAGTGACGTAAATTTCGTCACGATGGTTGATCATGTGTGCGTCGACTGCGCATGTGCAGGGAAATTAACTGGGTGTTTCCAGTAGGTGGCAGAAAAAGACGTGTATTGTAGTTAGGGACGCTTTTGATAAGAAGCTGAGTGAGGAGATGCTGAGGTATCCACATATTTATAATTCATCATTGAAGGAGCACAAATTCGTATAAAGAATTTGTCTAAATACTGGGGAAATAAGAGAATTCCTGCGGGCAGAAATAAAAACATATTAATTGTTTAATATGTCTTGCACTACAAGAACATTTCATATACAATCTAGTTTTGTGTATTTGTGCATTTGTATGCAGCATTTAAATTTGTTGTTGTTCCGTTTACCACATTGGAGTTTAATTGGTAACAGTAACAACTTTATAACTACTTAAAGTTCACAAAGTTTACCCATTTTACTTAACTGCTTGTATTTGTTACATTTATTGTCCTTGGCCGATCGTATTCAGAAAGGGCCGCTGTGTGTGCGGGTATTCGCTGCAACTCCCTAATTAGATTACTAATTAAAGGACTGATTGGCTGAAGTGTCTTCACACCTGGGTTTGGTCAGCTGACCAGAAGGTTATCCCAAAAACCTACATCTACACCGGCCCTTTGTGGATAAAATTGGCCACCCCTGAGGTAGGGTGACTAGCTAGTTCATGTCAGGAGGGACACTATGAGCTACGTCAGGTTTCACAAACTACTTTAAAGCTGAAAGGCTAAATTGTTTGGTTCGTCTTAATTGTTTGGTTCGTCTTAATTGTTTGGTTCGTCTTGTGCTTTTTGTGGTTTGTTTCCTTCGTTGAAAGACTCGCCCAGCTGTTACACATTGACATTAGTGACACATGCATGATTATAGGAGACTGACCAATCAGTACTCAGCAAGAAGTCAGCGTTTAAGTGAATTCCGGGTCCTTTTAATTTAAATAGTTGAAATAGTAGTTTACGAATCCTGTCGTAGCTCACAGCTTATCAGGTGGTCTGCGTGTTTCACTATACATTTAATGTGACGAAGAAAACCCTTGAAGCCTTGTTACAGTACATCTGCCCTCTGCTGGTATGGTGGAATATCGTTGTACGCATCCACCGACCGTGATTATCTGCATACACGAAAAATGTAGTATGTATACAAGGGTCTGCACGCGCGAAGTATGAAATATGCTTTAATATGCACAACGTATCTGCACAAACACACACATTAAATAACACAATTAGCACACATTACTAGTGTAAGGCATGACGGTCAGAATAATTTGCATTTACTGATTGCTCCCCGCGGCGTCACAATAAATAAAATGTTATCGATGTGCAGTTGTTGTAGCTTAATAGTTTATATCTGCAAGGAGTGGCAGTGTTTTGTCTTAAAATACATAACTTTCTGTACTGTACTATACTTGGTTGTTGTTTCCAAGCATTGCATTTTTATGCTTTTATTTTATTTCTACGCCTTTGGGTGTCACTTTAGTGCGTGCTGTACCAGCTCTGACTCAGCCCACGTAATAACAATGTGACTTTATCCTCTGCTTTGGTTTTATTCTTAATATTGGAACATATTTATTTGTGCGCCACCCAGTGGTAGAGTGCGAAAGGTAGTAGAGCGGTCTCTAAAAGTTTTTGTCGGCTGACGTCACACTCGCTATAGCCGCAATGCATTGTGGGTCTGATCGCCATTTTGTTTGTATATAAAGGGTGAGCCTTGGCATGCGGCATTATCTTTGGTAAGATGGGACACTCGTGCTGTGTGAATGGCTGCCATACTAAGTCACATGATAGACATGGCAGAAAGGTGGACCTCAACATGAGATTTTTTCGGTTTCCCACTTGGAAAAGAGGGTATGGACAGCAGGTAGAGGAGTTAACGGAGAGGCGTCGGGTGGCCTGGGTCGCAGCGGTGAGACGAAAGGATATCACATTCAACACGATATCTCCCTTCATGCGTGTTTGCTCTCGGCATTTTCATAAAGGTAAGTAAGATGTTTTTGTTTAAGTAATACTACTGAATATGCATTTGTTGTCTTCTAAAGTTGGTATTTTCACATTGGTTAACCTACGCTAGCAAGTTAGCCTCACTACAGAGGGTAGCAGAAATGGTTTAATCTGTTCGTGTTAAACTAGTGTTGGAGTGAATGCTTTTACAAGACAAAAGTAAACAGCAAAACTTAAATGACATATTTAGCAATGCATGTATGTGTATATTCGCGTGCATGGATTTTTTTTTTCCTGTTTTATGCATATATAAACATACATGTTCATTTAATAACGTGCTTGACTAAAAAGGTCTTTAGTCTAATCGTGCATTCCATGTGGGATCCGATTTGTATTCCGATATTACGTCACATCCGCTAAAAACTCGGGGAAACCCGAGTGGGATGCGTTCCATTTGCCACAGAAGTAGCAATACCATGGACCCATATGAAAAAGCATATGGTTTGCTTAGCTGGACAACTTATCGGATTTAAGGTACCTCAGTTTAAATGGCCTTTATCTTCGTTCACTTACAATTAGCCCGAACTACCTTAAACCCGACAAATAATCCGACTAATCATGAAATCCAATTCTAGCCCGGTTAATTGGTAGCCATTGTTGGCAATATCACCTGTTAACACATTACGCGCGGTGCTTCACGTATAAAACTCCGTAGCAACACGTCCACGGATAAGTTGGACGGTATAGTGTGTGCGACCGATTTCATGAGCCACAAATGAGAAGTAGTGCTTAAACAGGGTAAAACTACAACTTTCCCTTCTGGTGATAAAGGGCGCAGCCATCTTGGATTCTGAACTCTGGATCCTTTATGTTCGAGATATTTCTCTCGGATGTCTGAGAAACGGGAGCGCGCATGTCATCACTTCCGGCTTCAAAACTCGGAATCCGAGTTCCGAGGGCAAATGGAATGCGCGATAATTTTACAGGAATAAACACATGGAAGAGATTTCTCATTATCACTTGAGAGATCTGAAGAAATGGTTAACTGGTACCATTTCTGATTGGGAAACGTTATGGAAGCTTTCTAAATAAAACTTTACATGTGTTTTGCAGGACAACCAGCTTATGAAATGATGGAGACTGACCCTGACTGGGCACCATCCCTACATCTGGGCCATACATATGTTGCACCCACAGACACTGCTCGTGCTGAAAGACGATGTAGACGCGAGCAGCTACGGAAAGAGAAGCTGCGAGCAGCAGAGGTGGTGGTCGAAAGGGATGCAGGACTTAGAGAGATAAAGGAAGAGGATGTCACACCAGAGCCTGGTGAAGAAAGCAGTGAGCAACACACTGAGGAGGGGACACCTGGCACTGAAGAAGTTGGACAGCTACATGCCAAAGAGTGGACACATGAGGCAGGAGGAGGAAGTGATGAGCTCACCACTGAGAACAAGATACAGATCACCAGTCACACCGTGACACAGACTGAATGTGACTTGTGTGTGCTCAGGCGTGCAGAAATAAACCGCCTATTGGAAGAAAACAGAGCGCTGCGCCTTGAACTCCATGAGTGCAGGATATCCGATGGTTTCTTTGGAGACAATGATGAAAAAGTAAAGTACTATACAGGTCTGCCAAACCTGGGAACCTTTATGACATTATTCAATTTTTTGGTACCTCTCATGCATGGTCAAAGGAAAATTCTCACCCCATTTCAAATGCTCCTGTTAACTTTCATGCGCCTTCGATTGGATCTGCCTCCACAACACCTAGCTCATCTGTTTCGTGTTTCCCTAAAGACAGTGTACAGAACATTCAATGAAACAGTGTCATTTTTACATGCAAACTTGAAGTGTTCAATTGTATGGCCCGATAGAGAGACACTGCACAAAATTATGCCTCATGAGTTTGTGGAGGCCTTTGGACACAGAGTGGCAGTGATTATTGACTGTTTTGAGATTTTAACTGAGAAATCATCAGATCTGAAAGTGCGTGCCCAGATGTTTTCCAGCTACAAGCACCACCACACTATGAAATACTTGATAGGTATTACACCCAGGGGGACCATTTGTTTCTTATCAAAAGGCTGGGGAGGGGGTACAAGTGACAAACATATAACCCTGAACAGTGGGTTTCTTGATAATCTCTTGCCTGGGGACATTGTCTTGGCTGACAGAGGTTTTGATGTAAAGGACCGTGTGGGCATGTTGTGTGCAGAGGTCAAACCTCCAGCGATCACAAAAGGCTGCTGTCAGTTAGCGGCTAGAGGTGTGGAGGAAACTAGAGAAATAGCACATTTGAGAGTCCATGTTGAAAGGGTCATTCGAAATGTTTGTAAGAAATATAAAATCTTATCAGGAACCATTCCCGTCACCATGATTCTTCCATGTGAAGGTGAAGACGTCACAATGCTGGATAAGGTTGTCACTGTGTGCTCTGCCTTGACAAATCAATGCCCAGTTATAGTTTAAGTTTACAAAGTACGGTTTTTAACGTTTGACATGGTGTCTGGAAGGATCTGTGTTCTGCTTGCCACTTTTATTTTAAACATGACCAATAAAGTTATGTCCGATGATATTTTTGTGGTGGTCTTCACTCTTTTTCCTTCTTTAAACTCCTAAATCACTAGTGTGCTTTGGTAATGAAAATTACTTATTAAAACATTACATTTTAACAACACTGAATATGAAATATTAAGTTTGTTATCCAAATGAGAGCCTTGACAGATTTTTTGCTAACACTTTTTTTTTTTACTGAAATTCATTTTTAAAACAAACATTAGCAGCACAATGGTAGGCAGTTCAATCAGTGATCAAGTCAGCCTGTGTGGAACAATGAGAGCAGATTCAAAAGTCACCATGTCACCTTTGCTCTCTGGTCCACGACAAAAGCATCACAACTTGACAGCCGTTTCCCTCTTCCTGGACTTCTCTGCTACTGTGTGAAATGATTTGTGTGTCCCAGGATTCCCTCCTGGAACATAAATCTCAACAAGTGGCATCTGTCTTGCAACCAGAGTGAAGTAACAGCAGACCAGTTCAGGGAGACGCAAAAAATCGCTGTGCTTTTTTCAAGAGAGCACTCCAGAGCTCTGGGACAGGTCCCACACGCAGCAGTCTTTCAGAGTCCACACAACAAAATCTCAGTACTCTGCATCTGCAACAAAAATTTGTGTCTGTACTTGTTTGTAATATGGATGATTGTAGAACCACTAAGCCTGCACAAATCTGCGTAAATTCCCTATAACTACTTGTCTCAGTTGTTACTCTCCCACACTGTCTGTCTGTCTGCTTCAAAGTCTGTGTTTGCAGCGTTTGCAGACCCAGTGACCATCGTCCCTGCATTTGGCGCAGGTGGATTTTTGACACTTTACCCAGGTAAACCTGCTGCAATTTCTGTTGCAGCTCTCTTCTACCTGGCACTAAGTTGTCTGAACATGTCCTGGCACAGCAGCAGCAAACGCTGCAGCAGCTTTCCTCTCTGTCTCCATTGCCTTTTGCTGCATGAATTGTTAACAGAGTTCCTTGGCTAGAAGCGCAATCAGAGGGCAATTGGCACTTTTGGCAGCATTCCATTGACATGGCAAGTGATGACAGACCGATACTGTATGGGGCTTTTGTTGGTGTTTCAATGGTATGCACAGCTCAAAAGCCAGCCAATTAGCACACCCATTTCAATGGGAGGGCAATTGGCACTTTTGCCAGCGTTCCATTGACATGGCAATGATAGCCATATGGCAGACTGTATGCAATTAGGCCGGCTTTTCACAACATATAAATTCTGTAGGAGGTGTGACGCTGTCCTTTGTGACGCTGTCCTTTTACGACTGTATGTAAGGGAGTGGCATTGCTGTTTGCATGACTACAGCACAGTGCTCTGCATAGAAGCAGACCGACCAAAGTGGGAGAATCATTTCTTCTTCGCATTTCTGATTTCCAGGTTTCATTTGCCCGGCAGGTTTCGTTTGCCCGGCAGCTCGCTGATGCCTCATCGGATGAGTCTGAAATGGATGGAGCACCTCTCTCATGCTGTTCTTCTGGAGTTTCCACTCCAGCTTTCTCCTATAATTGTCCTTAGCCTCTTTCATTACACCCCTCAGTAATCCCTGACCCATTCTCACCTCCTCTCTACTGCCTGCTCTGAAGGCCCTCTTCTTGTTCACAGGTAAATTAGTGTGTTTGTACAACAAAAGCAGGAGGACAATGGAGCTGTGCAAATCTGCACAGGCTTAATAGTTCTAGTTGTTTTTCCACCAGAAAATAAAAAGCTCAGTAGTTCTAGTGCAGCTGCAGCTCTCCAGCACTATTTCCAAACAGAAGTTTTTGTCTCCATTGTTGCATGCCTCCTCAACAGTAGTGTCACGGTACGTGTATGGGCATTTTACTTCAACGCAAAATTTACCACTGCACAATCCAATCTGGTGATGCCCCAACTTGGGGAAAGTGTAGGTTTATGATAAACCCACACTGACTCATCTCAGAGTTACAGTGAAGTTTCTTAGTCTGCAATCTGTACTGTTTTCCAACACCTCATTTGAATGCATATTTGATGTGGTAATCCTTCCAGTGCGAAAGTGATACCAAGCTGAAAGTATGTGCTGATGTCTGCTCAAGTGAAATGTCTACTTTATTTACCAAGCTTTTGCAGTGCAGGCGCAAAGCAGTTAATTCTGTGCCATCCAGTTTCTCCTCACACATACAGTGCTGCGAATCTGGTGCTGAAAATGTCTGTACCGTGTCTACAAATGCATCACAAAAACCCGGGAGATTTCACAGAATTGCAGATTTTGGGGATACTTTCTGCAGTTCTGTAACATACATATCCCACTGTGTGGAAATGTGGAATGTAAAATTGTTTGTTGCAGTCCTTAGAGCAGGCATGTTTGCTGCCTCACCATTCAGGAGTTTGTCAAGACTTCTTTTTGCTTTTGCAGTGGCAAAGTCTATTTTGTGTCCTGCTTCTGCTCGCACTTTACTGATGCTGCTTGGTATCATCCAGTATGCAGGTTGTCCTGTTACCGTCCCTCTGCATCCACCTCCAGCTTAAACAGCAGAGCTGCAGCATGTGTGCATGTCCCTGCTAACCCAGCCATACAAGTACAGTGAGCAGAGGATGCAGCTCCTGAGGGATCGATGATGGCCCATGGCTTGAGAGGCATGTCAGTCAGGCAGTGCAAGACCTGTAGACAGCACAACAGTTTACCACAGTGTTATAATTATTCCATATATTATGCTTCATCTATAAGGCTGTCTACATGATTACAGTTAACTTCACCTTATAATTACTAATAACTTAACTTGATTACAAGTTAGCTTACCTTTGCAGTGATGACTGTGTTGTCGCAGTCCTGCGTTCGAAATGGGAACAGATCCTGCACCCGGCCATTGATGAAATTGCCGAATGGGGGCATGTCAGACACTTCAGGCACGTGACTGACAAAGACCGATAGAACTTTTGTATGAAATGCTTTTCAGCTCACGGCGGTATATGTATTATACATTACAGGTTTATACGACCAGATAAGAGCAAAGCAATCCCACTCTGCATCCCACAAGAGAAGGTGAGATAATCAGGGTATTGGTGGAATTACAGGCAGTGCGACTGGTGTAGCTGCACTGAGGGCCCAGGAGACTGGGGGCCCACAGAGGGTCGACATCAACGTCTTCACATGGAAGGGCCAGGAGGCAATTAATCTATTAGTTTAAAATACCAAAGCACATTATATTGCATTATGAACTGTAGGAATTGTTTCTTTTTTCTTTTTTAATGACAAGACTATAAAACGTCATACTACATATGTGTAGTATATCTTCCCATACTGTAGGTGGCGGTAGGACTCTAATGATTTGTGTGCAGCAGGACTGGAGGAGGGAGAGTTCAGAAAAAAGGAGTGAATTGGTAGCAGCTGGTGGTCTGTGTCTTTTCTTTCTTTTGACTACTGATATACAACAATATGCCAGGGCTGCCCAACCCTGCTCCTGGAGATCTGCCACCTTGCAGCCCTAATCAAGCCCTTCAGCAGCATCTCAGTATTAGAGCCAACATTATCATAAAAGTGCTTCACTTCAGTAACAGAGCACCCTATTATAATTTCACTTCAATAACACATATTGGCTTGTGCTGAATAATTTTTTCTAATCAGAGGAAATTGCACATTGTGTAAATGTTACCACCACAGCTGCTGTGGGTATCAGTTTCATAAAGTATAACTAAAGAACGTATTTGGCATCAAATAGGTTTCGTCTCTATCCATCCAGGCCTATCTGGATCACGTAGCTACTAAAGTTATCATGCTACGTAATGCAACTCAATTAGAATTCCTGTGTTGCACTGTAACTGAACATAAACTGTCTTTAATTAAAATGGCTTCACAGTTGTTCGTTTGCATAGCAGAAATATACTGATAGGGCTATTTTCATAAGTAACGTCAACGTTACAGTCAACTGTACTTGCATATGAAATTCAAATATCGGAACTGTTTCTGATTTCAATATTTTACGGCGTGAAAAGTGACCCAGGCTGCATGATGCATGTGTATCACTTAACTTTATATTTGATTAGTTGAATCTGATGTTAAATTATTCTTGTTAAATTACATAATGGGGGTGCCAGTCTTTCCCTTCTTCCCCCCTGATGGGCAGCGCTACCTAGTTCTGGTTAGCTAGATAACGATTTGTGGGATTTAAGGTACCCCAGTTTAAATGGCCTTTATCTTTGCTCACTTACATTTAGCCCCCATTGAAAACACAGGATATAATCAGGATCGTCTCAAATCCATCCACAGGCTTCACAAGTGATTATAGGCCTTGTATGTGTTGGTCTCAATGTAATCGTACCAGAAATTGGATTTCGGGTTCTAAATGTTGTTGTTGTTGTTTTTTTACAAATTCATTTTCTTTTTCAAATGTATTTTCATATTGAAATACCATATACAGGTATAATCCATAAATATACATTGAGACATAGACAGGATCTTATGTTCCTTGTTTATTGTGAAAAGGAATTGAATAACCAAGATTTTAGAGTAATTTCACCATCATAATCATATGTGGGTTTTGAGAGTTATTGTGACATGTTAGAGGAGTATATAGACAGACCCATGAATCATGAATATCGATCCCAGTTTCCTTTGACTACTTTGCCTGACTTAGATAGCAATTTAAAACAGCCTGTAAGCAAAATACACATCCAAGTACTTTTGTTTATGTGAGTCACAAAGAAAGACAATACATGACACAGAGTCAGAATAATTTGGTTTGCTGGTGCTGGTACAGACAGAATAAACATTTGGATCCAAGCCGAACTAAGGCATCCCCCCCCCCCCAAGTAAAAATGCTCAGTTTGTTACACAAAATCATAAATTATTTGTAGATTACAGCATATTTCCTGGGGTTTGGTAGCTGTAGTTTTTCATTGTACGTACTCTGATGGAAGCAACGTGCTGAGACTGGAAGCTGTAGAGGCATATTCTCGCAGGATCGGAGGTTCAAATATGATCAAGAACTATCTTCTTAGTATAATATTCAAGGAAATTAAAATAGGATTATAACATCTGCATATGAGAGGCAACTGTGAGG